TGGGCCACAGCCTCCTGTAGTAGAGACGGTAAAGTATAGTTAGAGACAGCCGTGTTCTGGACCATAACCTCATGTAGTAGAGACGGTAAAGTATAGTTAGAGACAGTCGTGGTCTGGGCCACAGCCTCCTGTAGTAGAGACGGTAAAGTATAGTTAGAGACAGCCGTGTTCTGGACCATAACCTCCTGTAGTAGAGACGGTAAAGTATAGTTAGAGACAGCCGTGTTCTGGACCATAACCTCATGTAGTAGAGACGGTAAAGTATAGTTAGAGACAGTCGTGGTCTGGGCCACAGCCTCCTGTAGTAGAGACGGTAAAGTATAGTTAGAGACAGCCGTGTTCTGGACCATAACCTCCTGTAGTAGAGACGGTAAAGTATAGTTAGAGACAGTCATGTTCTGGACCATAACCTCCTGTAGTAGAGACGGTAAAGTATAGTTAGAGACAACCGTGGTCTAGACCACAGCCTCCTGTAGTAGAGACGGTAAAGTATAGTTAGAGACAGTCGTGGTCTGCACCACAGCCTCCTGTAGTAGAGACGGTAAAGTATAGTTAGAGACAGTCGTGGTCTCAGCCACAGCCTCCTGTAGTAGAGACGGTAAAGTATAGTTAGAGACAGTCGTGGTCTGCACCACAGCCTCCTGTAGTAGAGACGGTAAAGTATAGTTAGAGACAGCCGTGGTCTCAGCCACAGCCTCCTGTAGTAGAGACGGTAAAGTATAATTAGAGACAGTCGTGGTCTAGACCACAGCCTCCTGTAGTAGAGACGGTAAAGTATAGTTAGAGACAGTCGTGGTCTGCACCACAGCCTCCTGTAGTAGAGACGGTAAAGTATAGTTAGAGACAGTCGTGGTCTGCACCACAGCCTCCTGTAGTAGAGACGGTAAAGTATAGTTAGAGACAGTCGTGGTCTGGGCCACAGCCTCCTGTAGTAGAGACGGTAAAGTATAGTTAGAGACAGCCATGTTCTGGACCATAACCTCCTGTAGTAGAGACGGTAAAGTATAGTTAGAGAAAGCCGTGGTCTGGACCACAGCCTCCTGTAGTAGAGACGGTAAAGTATAGTTAGAGAAAGCCGTGGTCTGGACCACAGCCTCCTGTAGTAGAGACGGTAAAGTATAGTTAGAGACAACCGTGTTCTCGACCACAGCCTCCTGTAGTAGAGACGGTAAAGTATAGTTAGAGACAGCCGTGGTCTGGACCACAGCCTCCTGTAGTAGAGACGGTAAAGTATAGTTAGAGAAAGCCGTGGTCTGGACCACAGCCTCCTGTAGTAGAGACGGTAAAGTATAGTTAGAGAAAGCCGTGGTCTGGGCACCCGCTGACACAAACTGCCACCATGCGGATGAGGATCACAAGTGGAGAGGTCACAGAAACCCCAGTTTAACGGTTAGGTTATATTAGGGCCCCCAGTAACAGCCAGGTTGGGGCTTCAAGATAACGAAAAATGACATCCAACAAAGGAACGACATAAGTTTATAAACCACATGAGTACTTCACCGGGCGCTATGTCCTCAAGTGAACACACCAGTTTGAGCAATGTCTTCGGTATGTTTGAATGACATGAAGTCTTTGAGTCATTATCTGACGTGGTTGATAGTGCGTATCCATAGCTTAGGACCTCTAACGGCACCAGTTTGTGTGCAGAACACTGTCGTGCCATGACAGAAGGCTGTCAAGAATCTAACAAAGAAATCCTTTTAATTACCATTTTCTCCTCTCTTAACCCCCCCCCCCCACCCCCTTTTTTTCCCATTCGCTTTTAAAAATAATATTGCAGAACATGACAATTAACTCTTTCTGAAGATTAGAATAAACCGTCTTTATTTTGTTTTGCTTTATGAATTTTCCGACAACAATTTACTGCAATAAGGTGATACGATGTATACAAGAAAAATTATAGTGACCAGAAAATTAAAACAGAATAGTAAGGTGTTTTTCGGTTATTGTGGGAAAAAATAACCAAGTTTCCGTTAGGTCAAAGGTCAAGGAATTGTTGTCAAACGACGAAATGCGACGGAAGAGAAATAAAGCGTTTACGGATGTTTGAGACAAAAGTTTTTTCTTCAAAGGTTAATTAGACCCTCATTTTAATGCATACGACTGAAATTGCCAATATACGTGTTCTTGAGCATTTTTCAAATCGACAAAATCCGTAATTAGGCGTTATTTTTAATTTAACATTGGATGGATGAGAATAGTCTCACGCACTCACTCACGACCAGACAAAAACATTGATGATCTGTCCACGCTTTGGGGATCTCTTTTCAGTCTCTTCCCTCCCCCTTTTAGATGATGATATTAAAATTCAAAACAGACGCATATAATAAACACCAATGATTTTTTCTGAGGGTACGCTCCAATAAGCTGTACCGTTGTACCCGATACATTTTTAGGCATAATTTTGTTTTAAACAATGTTTAAGAGTAGAAGAGTTGCATTGTTGTGTTCATGTTGAGTGAGTAACGGTCGCGTATTTTAACTTGATTTAAAGTCATTTCGTGGTGAGCACTAGTAATACCTTTTACTCTAACAGACATTGAGCAGGGAGAGGTAAGCATTCGCGTATTTTCGGACAGGCTAGTCATCTCAGTTTATTCAGGGGCTGAAATGTCGATCAGAGGCATGAGCACCAGCTTAGGGTTATCTTTAATACATTAAAAATGACAGTGTTCCGTGGGCCACTATCTAGGTCTCTGAAGGCCGTATTTGGCCCGCGAGCCAATAGTTGAGTATCCCTCTTCTAGGCTCAGCTTATGTGGTGAGGATTCAAGTTCCATCTCAGTGTCCTTCTTTCCTTCTCATGTGATTCTGGAAATGATAATATGGTTCCCATGGTAATGGATACTTAGAAACAGCTTGTGAAATGCTGTGCAGGACTTTGTAATGCTAAAGAATATTATGAGACTGTGTATGGAAGATATTTATAGTAACAAATGAAGATAGTCAGCCCCTTTTTAAATATCTGGTTTAAAGCCAGGTGATACTCTGTCCCTGCTTCCTTTCAAGTGGGCTCTAGAGTAAATTATAAGTAAGATGAAAGAATAGTGTACTGTAGGTGAAACTACAAGAATATTTGGTTATGCAGAGGACATATATATTTTTGGAGAAATGAACTAGAGACACCATAAACACTGACTCTCTTGAAGGAAACTGCTAAATGATATTAATTATCAGTCAAGATAAAACAGATACATAGTAATAATAACAATAGAGGGAGAAGATAAAATCTCTGGCCACACTCAGATAGACAGTATAAAAATTAATCAAATGGAAACGTACAAATACTTGGGTACTAACTTCAGTGCATCAACATAAAAAAAGATGTCATATACGATCTGTAAATAAAGTATACTATACTCCACAACATCTTCTAAGATCAGATGCTCTACCTCAGAACACCAAGATCACAGTACACCTTCTCCCCAACTTCACCAAGATCACAGTACACCTTCTCCCTAACTCCACCAAGATCACAGTACACCTTCTCCCCAACTCCACCAAGATCACAGTACACCTTCTCCCCAACTCCACCAAGATCACAGTACACCTTCTCCCCAACTCCACCAAGATCACAGTACACCTTCTCCCCAACTCCACCAAGATCACAGTACACCTTCTCCCCAACTCCACAAAGATCACAGTACACCTTCTCCCCAACTCCACCAATCACAGTACACAATCTCCCCAACTTCACCAAGATCACAGTACACCTTCTCCCCAACTCCACCAAGATCACAGTACACCTTCTCCCCAACTCCACCAATCACAGTACACCTTCTCCCCAACTTCACCAAGATCACAGTACACCTTCTCCCCAACTCCACCAATCACAGTACACCTTCTCCCCAACTTCACCAAGATCACAGTACACCTTCTCCCCAACTCCACCAAGATCACAGTACACCTTCTCCCCAACTCCACCAATCACAGTACACCTTCTCCCCAACTTCACCAAGATCACAGTACACCTTCTCCCCAACTCCACCAAGATCACAGTACACCTTCTCCCCAACTCCACCTAGATCACAGTACACCTTCTCCCCAACTCCACCAAGATCACAGTACACCTTCTCCCCAACTTCACCAAGATCACAGTACACCTTCTCCTCAACTCCACCAAGATCACAGTACACCTTCTCCCCAACTCCACCAAGATCACAGTACACCTTCTCCCCAACTCCACCAAGATCACAGTACACCTTCTCCCCAACTCCACCTAGATCACAGTACACCTTCTCCCCAACTTGTGATCGACTATCTACACTTAAGACCAAAAATAAAACTAATATTGTAAAGAAAGAGCTACACTTGTAGGGTCAAAATGTTCCAGGAACTTCATACAGAATTGTTTAATTCCTTACGTGTACTCTGTTCTCTGATTGTATGTTACTAAAATTCACATTTATATTTCAGGCATACATTGTCAGTCTGAATGACAAATCTACATTTTGTGCGTGCTCTAAGCCAGCAAGCGGAAGTTCTGTGTTCTCATTTTGCTGCAAGAGTTTGTTGCCATGGTGAACAACATGGTTGTCTCAGATCCCAGAGATTGGTTCGAGGGATCCACTTGTCTCCTAGATTGTCCAAGGGGTACATGTCAGACCCAGGTGAGTTAAATGAATGCACATTCATCTTGATATTTAATATTTCTTTGTAAGTCGGTGAGCATCTGCCCGAGAGGTACAGAACAACGTCTATGCGCAGTAATCAAGATCTTAAAAGTGGATGTGCATGCAATACTGAATTTCTGGAACAAGACCAAAGTCCAGAGGTTCATGAACAACCCAGATTTCCTGCCAGAGTTTACAGCTAGGGATCGCTAAGAAGAAAGATCTGTGGAAGGAGGGATAGAGGAAGACAATGAGAGAAGATGCTTGACAGTCTTGTTGCATGGCATGGAGGTGTGTTGGCACATGAACTGATACATGCTGCAGGAGATCGCAGATAAGGAGAGGCATGATCGCCTACGCCAGTCGGCATGGCACCTGATGATAATGATGTTATACTTGTTGTTTCACATATATATTCATCATGTATTCAGCTTGTTAATATGCATTTCACATTGTTGTGTGATCTCAGAAAACAAAGGTACCAGAACCAGTGGGGTGAACTTTGACACTTTGGGCTCATGGAACAATCGATTAGCTCTTCCCATCCTCTACGAACAGAGTATAATAACTGGCAAGTTAATTCCGCGTGTTCCTCTGGATGAAATTGGGCTGACCTCTGTCATTGGCAGACGGAGAGATAATGAAGACAGATGTGTTGTAGGTAAGTGTCTTAGGATAGAGGATAACTGAAACTGTTTAATATCCTAATTGTGTTAGAATAAATTATATAACTTATCCTTAACAATAATTGTGAAAAATTAAAAAAAGATCCAAACAGGCTCCAGTGGATCAAGAGGTGAGGAAAAGACACTTGTGTTGGATAGGACACACGCTAAGAAAACAGGAGAACAGCATAACTAGAATGTCTTTGCATTGAAACCCACAGGGGCATAGGAATAAAGGAAGGCCAAAAAAACACATGGAGAAGAGAGCTGGAGAATGAAGTTAAAAAGTTGGGGAGGACATGGGGAGAGCTCCATGTAATGGCGAAGGATAGAACGATTTGGCGTGGGTTGGTTGAGGGCCTATGCTCCATTGGGGGATAGAAAGGCAGAAGAAGAAGAAGAAAAAGATTTTACACTTCTTTGCCCAGGTGTGAGTATAGAAGTACAGAATTGTACCACCCTAAAAAGCCTTAACATTGCTAGTTGAGTAGACACAAATGTGTAAATGAAAACACCTTTAGAGAATTAAACGTGCTATATTCTGCATAAAGTAAATACTAAATAATTGGCACAGAACAACACAACAATGCTGAAAATAACATAATCATCATTTGATGTTAAGTCTATATTGCGGCCCAAGAAATTTATAAAAACAACCATATTCCTGGCTTTTCTTCTGGCAAATACACAATGGTATGCAATACTAGTACTCTTGTTTAAACATCACTTTTTAAATCTACTGTAATAGACTAGCACCTATTTGAACCGTTTGAGGTCAGTACTCTAATCTATTTTCTGGAAAAAAGCCCTGACTATACATGAATTGCGATGTGAAGTATCAAAAAGATGGTGCATATTACCAGCTCCACAGAAGTGATCAACTAGCAGTCTTCAGACTGTGTGCATCATGCATGTCAAACTTAGGATCACCGGAGGGCACCACATGACATGGCAACTAACTGAAGTCATTTCATAAATAAAAAGTAAGTAAAGGGCCCTTTTCCACGCCTTTAGGCGTATAGGGCATATAGGGCTAGACCGATATTTTTATAGACCAATCGGCACAAGATGGGTGATGTGGTCAGCATCACGCCGGCCGCCTTTACTTCCTGGGTCTGCACCCGGTACCCACTCAAGGCTGGGTCGACCTGGGAGCCAAGGTCATGTTTGAATATAGTCCGGCTCCGCCAGGGAGCGAACCCACAACCTTCCGAACAGCGGCGAGCGTCCAGCCGCTCGGCCACGGAGACTCCCCATTTAATAAATACTGCATGCAAACAGCCTTCTATGGGCTTCATATTTGGCGTGCCCGATGTACATCTTCATGTAGCAGTTCCTTCATGCCAGTAAGTTCCCATCTTTGACCTATTCTCCTGCCTGATAATGACATGCTTGAGAACTTGTTTACCTTGGTCAAACAGGCAGTTACGCTTTTTCAGACTATTTCAGTTGAGAAAAAATATTCAGTAATTTGCTTCATCTTATTTTTATTTTATTTCCCCTAACTAGATATAGCGAAATATGCCAGGCAATACAATTTTTTTTTACTGAGTATGAATATAATAAAATTATACTGAATTCACATCATATATAAAAAAAAATTACAAAAATAAAAAAAAAAAATAAAAAAAATTAAAAATATATATATAATTTTTTATTTTATTTTTTATTTTTGTAAAATTTTTTCTCTGATGTATTACTGTGTATGTTCACTGTTTCAGAGGAACTTTCATCAGAGCTCTTGTATTTTGGAATCTTTGATGGCCATTGTGGGTCACTTGCTGCAGAGTATGTGTCAGACCATTTAATTGACCATCTGAGTTTTTGGTTGACCAAGACATCAGACTTGAAATCTGTGCTGAGAAATTCCTTCTGTGATGTGCACAATCTGTTAGCCAGGCATCTTCTCTATTATCATATAGGTAGGTCAACATATTTTGTTTAAATTAATTCGCTCAGTAGTTGGGTGTTAGAAGTAAAGTTTCTTTTTCTTTTTTAAGGAATTTTTTTTTGTTTAAGGTCTATTGCTATGTTCTCTAACAGTAATCAGATAATCGAATTTCCAGCTTCATAGCAAACAGAGGTCACTCCCTAGCTGCTTCGCTCCTGTACCAATGCAAAGCACACAGAATGTCCATCACTGTCCCTCGGTGAAAAACAATGACACAGACTACAGTCTTAGTACATCCAACAGCATAGGGGCCATAAATTGCATAAAGCAGCCGGAAGTCGAAAGTGCCACCATAAATAGTCTGATACTATACATTTTATCATCGATGGATGCAGAAGTTACAATATAGCAGTAGTTGCACACACATTTAATTGCATAAGGCACTACAAGTTCTCTAGTTACCATTTTCTGAATCTGCAGTTCCCAGTACAACCATATTGGGCACAGTTGAAAAACATTGGAAATGAAATCTGCAGCTCACAGTGTTGCGCGATCACTCAACTCAGTAGCAGGGGGACAGAAATATATCCTTTCAGTCCACATATTGAGGAAGATGTAACAACTAAAAATTGTCAGAAGCAAAAACAGTACACCTTACTGTCCACCTTACTGTCCACCATATTGACTATAAGTGAGCAATTGAAACTGTTAATAGCCATTTTTGTTCCTACTTTGTTTAACAAGTGATACAGACAGAGTGTCTGTTGGTTTGCCTGGGATACACTAAAGTTGGTTCTTCTTCCTCTTATTATCTCCCCTTGGAGTATAGGACCCAACTCAGATCAGGTCAAGTTGTTCTAGCTTTTATTATCTGTATTTATTATCTGTTTATTTGTCTCTAATTCTCGTCCCCGTGAGATTTTAGGCGTCCTTTTTTTTTTGCTCTGTGGTTCCAGAGTATCAGGTAGTGTGCAGCATGTCTTTTGTGTTGACATAACATGACATCATTGTCACATATTTATGGGAAAAATGAAAGACGGCTAGTATAATGCTGACCACACAACCACAAATATGCCTAAAAATTATGGAAAGCAATAAAATAGCCTAACATTAATTTATTAATGAATTTTTCCGTTTATTTTATCTCTCCAAGATGATGACAATTTTAAGACAGGTACAACTGCAACAGTCTGTTTGCTACGCAACTCGACAGAGCTTGTTGTTGGCCATGTGGGCGACAGTATTGCCATCTTGTGCCGGGATGGTCAGCCATTGAGATTGTCTGTGGATCATGTTCCAGAGGATTGCGAGGAATCTGTACGAATCATTCAGAATGGTAATTTTGTTGTTCTTCTAATCACACTGTCCAGTCATTCATTTGTAGCTTCACATTTTATCTTAGACACACTGTGTCATAAGTCATTTATAGTTTCACTCTTAACTCAAACACACTGTTTCTGTCATTTATAGTTTTATATTTGATCTCAGTTACGCAGTGCCAGAGAGTTATTTCACATTTTATCTTCGCCACACTGTACCAGACGTATATATCATGTTTTATCCTAACCACACTGTGCCTGTTATATATACTGTCATATTTTATCTCACTCACGCTGTGCCAGTCGCATATCGTATAATATTTTGTCACAGTCACTCTGTATGCAATTATTTTTATATCACAGTAATGTGCCTCGCTTACAATGTATCAAAGGAGCTGCAGTAGTACAGTGGCAAATATGATGATCGCCAGTTCCCCTTTGGCAGAGATTTTAATTTAAACAAAAAAAACTGGCTTTGGTTTCCAGTTTGAGCCAGCCTAAAATATGTATCTGGAAATTCCTAGGAAAAAAAATAACCAGTGTGATATTGACCACATAACCTGTTGCATGGCAACTGGTCTGTTATTGGGGAGCTAGCCGCAGATACTGTACATTCTTCCAGCATCCCAGTTAAGTGTTTATACCGTATATTCTTCCAGCGTCCCAGTTGATGAGTGTTTATACCGTATATTCTTCCAGCATCCCAGTTAAGTGTTTACAGTTTTTGTGAGATATTTGTGAAGACTAATGCGTTAACTGCAATAAAAAAAATTAAAAACAAATCTACATTTTCAGGTGGTGAAATTATTCACAACAGTCTTGGTGTGGCTCATGTCAATGGACGTCTGGCAATGACTCGCAGTCTGGGAGATGTTGAACTGAAATCTTTTGGTGTGTCAGCTTATCCGTATCTTAGAACTATAGAAGTAAGACTGTTTTTGTTTTATCACTTCACAATTTCAGATTGATTCTTTGTCATAAATTCTTTTGTCAGATATATGTTGAACTGGTATGAGGAGAGAATGCAGTTAGTCTTACTTTCCTTTGCACCTCAGATCAGTTTTGTTTCACCATCTAATTTGACATCTGTTCATTCATCCACAATTTCTTGTTGAAGTTCTTTATTTCATCAAGCTCACAGAGGCCAGCTTCAGGCCTCAGAAATGAGATATCTGAGAAAGGTGGCGCAAGTGACAAGAAGGGACAAAGTTCGCAGTCAGACAGTACGTCATGATATTGAAAGCCAGGCTTGAGTGGATTGGTCACAGTTACGATGGTTTGGACATGCATGCAGAATAGGAGAGAATCAGCCACCATGGGAGGCATGTGAGGCCAAGAACCAGGGAACCAGACCTCCAGGGTGTCCTAGAGTTCGATGGAAAGACAACATCTGATAATTTCTTACTGATTGAAGACTGGAATGGAACAAAGCCAAAAACAAAAGAAAACTGCAGATAGAAAAGTCTGGCGATCTCTCTGGCAAACCTTTTCACTCCAGGGTAGAAGAGTATTGCCTAAGTAGATATTGAGACTCATTTCATAAACAGCCACAACAGGTTCGTTTTCATGGATACCTGTTCTAATTATTTTGTGAACGAGGGTTATAAACTGTCTCTCTGCTTGCACCCACAGGTTAAACATGGCTCCGATGCTTATCTAGTGATGAGTTCTGATGGTCTGAGTCATGCTATCAGTGACCAGGAGATTGTAAACGTCGTCACCAGTTGTCAGACACCCCAGGAAGCTTGCAGCCGATTGGCTGATCAGGCACAGCACTTTGGTTCAGAGGATAATGTAACTGTTGTGGTGATTCCTTTGGGAGCTTGGGGAAAGTACCAGAAATTAGATACAAATTACAGTTTCAACTTTGGTCGAGTTTTAAGTAACTCAAAATTCTATTAGTTCACAATTGTATGGTATGCTAAATTATTGTGATCTTGCTTTTTTTGGATTCTTTACATATCTATTTTATTGTTGTATATTTTCCCTCTACCATTATGTCTTCTTTGTGCTCTTGTTCCTTTATTTCACATTACTCTTCCACCTGAAGATTTGGAGCAGAGAATACCTGAAGGCTTAAAACTCAGATACTCATTATAGTCTATTGATGATTTACTCCAGGTGATCTGTGGCCATAGCTAATCATTATAGTCTATTGATGATTTACTCAAGGTGATCTGTGGCCATCTTTATTTTAATTATTTGGTTTCACTGTTGCCTTTCCAAAGACAGAAAACTATAGACAGACAGGGATATCCAAATGATCTGACAAGGTGTATTTGTGAGAGGATCTGACCATTTAAGTAGCTGAATTCTAATAATGTCAAGTTAAATAGAGCCAACAGGACAAAAGAAAAGCGGGAGACCCAAACAAAAATGCTGAAAAGAAAATTAGATTAATAACACAGGGAAGATATGGAAGGGGCTGTATAGTATGACTGATTCTCCATGTGGGTTCTGGGGCGCCTTTTTGGGAGGAAAACGAACAGATACACCTGCCTGCCTAATTAGCACGTCATATATATAAGTCAGCGAATTAGGGGTGTTTCCTCTGAAGTCAAGAGTGCATCTGCCTAAGAGCGAGGAGCCAGCCGTCTACTTACAAATAAGCCAGATCTGCAAAACAGAAATGCATGCAAAACTCAAGTTCTGGAACAAGACCAAATTTCAGAAGTGGGCGAACAGCCAGAACTTTCTGCTAGAGGTTACAGTTTGTGAATGTAAGGGAGAAGAAGGGGAGGATGGCTGATATAGGATAAAGATGAAACATGTTAACACTTCACTGGCAGTTTGATAGCTGAATGCCTAATACTGGTGTTTGCAAATCTTTTTCTTTTTCTTCTTTACATTCTCTTTTAACGCTTTGGGTGTTGAGGGAGATATAAGGTCCTGCCTCATGCTCTTCTGGCTGCTTCGACCATAGACAGACACATAGTGGTGTTGTAGGGTTTCTCTGATGTTATCTTCCCTCTTGTTCTTGGTCTACCTAGTGATCTACGTCCCTCCCCTTTTTTGGTGTGTGCCTTGTATGGTATAGCTTCAGAAGGCATTCTCTGAAAGTGGGCAAGCCATTTGATTTGCTTTCTTTGTCTAAATTTAGGACTATTCTGTGCCGACTTTATCCCATATGACCTCATTCCTGATTTGATCTCTTCTGGTCACTCATACAGTCTTTCTCAGACACCTCATTTCCACGGTTACTAATTTTCTTTTGTTTGGTTGTGACACTGAAAGCATAGGGTGGGAATGAATATGCTTTGTATAAGATGTTTCTTTGTACTGATTGGGGTTGCTATATGCTGTAAAAGGGGGGAGGGGGGGGGGGGGGCTAGCTGTCCCACTACTTGGCCTACTTTACTGTATCAGATGTCAATTTCTTTGTCTAATTTATCATCTTCAGTGAATGTTGTTTCAAGACTCAGATGCCTGTTTAATATATGTATGCTCTAATGTCATATTTAAATTCTGCTTCTTTCTTGACATTGCTTCTGTTTTTTCGATGTTGATTCTCATATTATTTGATTTACATTCTTTAGATCATAAACAGGCATGGTGATAAGATACATTCCTATCTTACTCCAGATGTTACTTTGAATGGTTTAGATGTTCACTGATTTATTCTAACTACGCTTCTACAATCTCTGTATAAACTTTTGCAAACTTCAATGAGGTGTTCATTTATTTGCTATTTATCGAGTCATTACTTTCCATATGTTTTTTTGTCTATCAACCTGGTTGAAAGCTTTCTCCTGGTCCTCAAATAAGTTCTAATCATATTCGTTCTTTTCTGTCAACTGTTTGAGTGAGAAGATTGCTTCTGTGCAGGTGTTTGCATATAATACTCAGAATTTGACATGCATCAGAAGCAGTTTGTTGCTTGCACAAGTGTATTATTTATTTTACTTAAGTCATAAAATGCAATGAACAATCTAAGCTATTTGTCTATATCTTTGAATGTTTGTGATAAAAGATTTATAAAACAAAGTTTTGCGTGTATACATTGATGTGTTTGATATAGTCTACAATATTCACAACATAATGTCCAATATCCATCTCAGTATAGTATCAAGGGTTGGACTACAAACAAGTTATGAAAAGACAATATACTGAAAACGCCAACAACGGATCAAGCAGACCTAACACTAGACACAAAAGTAATTAAATTAACGGATCAGTTTACTTATTTAGGTAGTCATTTTGATAGTGAAGGAAATTCAGAGAAGGAAATTATGACACCAATTACCAAGGCATAAGCAATTTTCAATAGCTTGAACAAAATATGGAACTCTGAATAGTTTTAAAACCAAGTTACATATTTTTTAGTTCTAATGTTACTTCAATTTTCAACATATGAAATTGAAAGTTGGGGAACCATTGAAAACATGGAATGAAAGTTGAGTGCATTCAAAAACAAAATGTCTGAGGAAAATGATGAAAATAAAATGGGATGAAATGGGAAATAAAGGAATTATGGAGGTGAGAACCCCAAAAGAAACCCTAAGACTAACGTTGAGAGAGGTCAAAGGTTCTGGACTTTATTCCATCCATGATACTGAACTGATTGTACAAGATAAAACGGAATGGAGAAATAAACTGTGAGCCCTAAATGACATATAATGCTAGGTTCTGGCAACTACGACCTAGTATAACAACATGTAGTCGTGTGAAGACGAGGACTATCTGCCTCACTGCAGTTGCCAGTTTGTCCCCTCTAGGATTTCAGTCTGCTGGATTTACACCTCAAGGATGAGAAGTGTCGTGAGATGAGCAGCCACCATACACAGTGGACGAGTCGGGACTTGAAATCCCTCGCTCTCAACAAAATTTAAAACTTAGACCCGTCCAGAAGGGTATATAGTCCCTTATATTGATCTATACCTTTATCTGGTAAAATATTCATTTCTAGACCTTCCACTTGCTTTGATAAGTCTTCATTTTCAAACTTGCAACTCTAGGTTGGTGAATTCTGGTATTTTATTTAGAAATTCCTGTAAACCAGATTACTCCTTGTTCATGAATACAGGGAACTTCTTTCCTAGTGACGCTAAGCATAGTTTGAAGCGGGCATTTTCTGCCTGACTGCCTAGAAGAACAGATGTTCTAAACGGGGCCTCGTACATCTATGCTTTGAGAGGCGGCCTTTGGTGTCCATGACATTTCCTAAGCTTGGGTAAGTTAATTATAGTTTATGAGTACCATAATTGATGTCTTTTTAAAGTTGGCTACTGCTGCAGAGAAGGCAGAGTTAGCTATGTGATCGCACAGAGTTCGACCGTTCCTGATGTCCAGAGATTGGGCTCCGAACATTAAACCTTTCCCTGTGCAGACTAAATAGTTTGTGCTCTACATAACCCACACCATTTGTAAAGATATTAAACCCTACAAGTAATTATTCTATAACCAAACGTAGGATTTGTATCGACTAATAGACACATGTAAACTGGGTCATCTTTGGCCGGCTTGTTGCTGTGACAAAAGCAAGCTTGGCGCTCTGGGTCAAAGGTTAATTTTAGCACAACACAGTGTGTACGGTAAACAGACGGGGGATGGTATGAAAAATATATATATGAGAGAGAGATGGGATGTGTGTATACAAGTGCGGGTGGGCGAGGAGAGTTGATGTTCTCTGTTTTATAGTCTATTTGTCTCCACTCTGGCACTCATCTCCTGTCAATATTACTGACTGAACAATAGAGATGATATGTAGAGACTTACACTGTCTCATTATCCCCAGAGCTGTCCTCTGAATGATTACTAATGTGGATGTTGATAACTGAGCTTGACATGTAACCCCTGAGATGACTGCTAATTCTGAGTTCCTTCTTGATACAGGATGATATCTACTTGGAGGCCAGGCAGTGAATCAGCAGTCCACAAAACCACCTACAAGGAAATCACCTATGTCTAAGCCAGTGGTGGGCATCAGATGGTGAACCTAACTGTGGTCATCAAGTAATGAAATCCTCCAGTTGGTCTACAGACAACATTATGGGTGTTGTACCTCCACCATCAATTATCCGGCAGTTTGTTTGTGCCTCAAGTGTTTGACTGGGTACCTGAGATCCTCTCCAGGAGCTTGGGTGTATCTCCAGTGTTCGAGTGTCTAGTGTGGGACTGTCTTGAACATAACAACAGAGTGACTGAACATCCGGCCAGTTTAAGAAACCAGGGATTCAGATAAGTGGGCGATCATGGGTTTATTGCCAGGCTTCACTATTAAATGTTCACATTCATCATAAGGATGATGTAGGCAGACTCTGGAACATTCGTACATGTGCAGTCAGATCTAGTTGAAGTTTTGGTCCTTCATATCCTCTGGGTTCTTGAAGTTCTTTGCTGATTCTTATATAATGTATGTGTTACACTTATTACAGTATTTCTAAAGTTTCACTATTGACTGGAGTGTCACTCATTCATTGTTCTTAGCTGTCTAAAATACATGCATGTTCAATTAATGATATTTATCTGTGTTAACATGGTTATGATAGTAGACTATCATAACCTGGGGGCTATCTTTTTATAGTAGTGGGGGTGTCCAGCCAAGTGTGCCTAGGAATATTATATATTTTGTAGTGCCAAAACTTGAGTTGCCCTACTACTGAAATAAGTTGAGCGTATATTGGCCACGGGGCATCCCTTAGACCAATACGAGCCAACGACTCAACGTAATTATTTCAGAGTGCTGTTGGTTCTTGAGGAGAAATCCTTAAATCAGGCACGCGACAGGAGTGATATGTGACAAGAAGAATAAATAAGCTTTATATAAACAGTGGACAAAATCGAAGAGAGAAGATGATTATGTAAACTGTTTACTGCAACAAAAAGTCACCAAACCAGAGAATCAAGAAAGCAAAACAAGAATTGGAGAGCCGTTAACAGAAAGTGAGAAAACAGCCAGCAGAACATTTTGAAAGTAGTAAAAACTGCAAAAAAGAGATCAGAGCTGAATGAATGAATGACTTTCTACCCCACCAGGACATCACACAAGCGATAAACACCCGATGACACAAAGTGCCACCATGCGGATGAGGGTCGCCGTGGAGAGGTCCCAGAAACCGCGTTCAGACATTTGGCCATATTTATGGCCTGCCTATTTTGCGGCCCCTGGCAAAAGCCAGAGTGGGGCTTCAAATAACGAAAAATTACGTCCTAAAAAGGACGTATGAGATTATGTACAAACCAACAGTAGATATTAATGATATAACAGGAAAACCTTTAGTAGACCCAGTAGCGATATCTGAAAAATGGGAGAATACTTTGGTGAGCTCTCAGTGCCAGACGTGGTCACTCACAACAGATCAAAAGAAAATTAGTAACCATGGAAATGAGGTGTCTGAGAAAAACTATAGGAGTGACCAGATGAGATACAATCAGGAATGAGGTCATACGAGATAAAGTCGGCACAGAACCAATTCCAAATTACATAGAAAGAGAGCAAATCAAATGGCCGAGAAGAAGAGAGGCCCACTTGGAGAGAATGCCTTCTGAAGCTAAACCACAAAAGGCAAACCAAAAGAGGAGACAGACGTAGAGCAATGGGCAGACCAAGAACAAGACGGAAAGAAAACATCAAAGAAACTCTACAGCACCACATGTGTCTGTCTATGGTCGAAGCAGCCAGAAGGGCACGAAGCAGGATCTTATATCTCCCTCGACACCCGAAGCAGCCAGAAGAGCACGAAGCAGGATCTTATATCTCCCTCGACACCCGAAGAGATAAGAGAGGACGTAAAGAAGAAGAAGACTGTTACGAAGTAACCTGAAATCAGGAGCGAACAGGGATCACCGGTCCCACTTTCTACGAAGTAACCTGAAACCAGGAGCGAACAGGGATCACCGGTCCCACTTTCTACGAAGTAACCTGAAACCAGGAGCGAACAGGGATCACCGGTCCCACTTTCTTGATGGAAAATATTAGAGCACTTTCAACTAGCCACCCATGAGGGGGAGCTTTAGGTTTAGTGTATGTTTTTATTTGAGCCATATTCATGGCTAAAAACTGCTCGATACTAAGCAGCCCTGCCTCTTGCAGTGTTGGTGCGATGATTATATGGCCGTGGATGATCAGATCCAATTTCAAGCTGTACGACAGGCCCCCTTTTTTTAATGGGTACCTAGTTGTTTTATGTTATCTTAGTACACTCGTTTCCACAGCGCGGCACATACATCATTTGGAGGTGACAGGTTCGAGTACCAGCACGGCTACTATCATCATCATAATCATCAGGTGACTTGCCGACTGGCGTGGGCAATCATGCCTCTCCATAATCTGCGATCTCCTGCAGCATGTATCAGTTCGTGTGCCGACACACCTCCATGCCATGCAACAAGACTGTCAAGCATCTTCTCTCGTTGTCTTCCTCTATCCCTCCTTCCACAGATCTTTCCAGTGGTCACAAGTTCACAACATGTTTTATTTTCCCTCTTCTCATAACATGGCCGAAAAATGATGACTGTCTCCTTGTCTGTGATAAGTCGTCTTCGGGCTCCTGCCTCTTTCAAAACCTCTTGGTTGCTCTTTTTTGGCTGTCCAAGGTATTCTAAGTATTCTTCTGTAAAACCACATCTCTGAGGCCTCTAAAAATTGTTTGGCCTGCCTACCAATTGTCCAGGATTCACAGCCATATGTTAAAACTGGATGTATGTGGCAAGCAATTCTTTTTCCAACTCTCTCTCTCTCTCTCTATATATATATATATATATATTATATATATATATATATATATATATATATATATATATATATATATATATATATATATATATATATATACTGTCCTTTTATAATTCCACTTTTTCCTGTGAGTGCCAATCAATACATTGTTTGTTTATTATTACATATAATGTTTCTGAGAGGGTTCCCCTCTGTTTACTGTTGAGACCGGCCCCAAAAAAGCCAGCCGGGCGTCGGTGTACTCCCGACCGACCGCATCTGATCCAACATTTGTGATTGTAAACAGACAGGAGAAAGTAGTGGATAAATGATGCTGTTCTCGCCTGCAGCCAGCCCCGAGAACTACCTGCTATAACAGCTCGTACCCACACACGTTTTCTGAGAGGTGAGTTTATTTTTGCCCATTCTTGTCTTATTTGTACTATAACTGTAAGTAGAGATGCTAGCGACGTTTTTATATATTGAGTTTGGTTTTTACTTATGAAATTATCACATGGATAAGCTGTTAAAATATCAGTGCAGTGAAGCCTGGTGTAAGTCGATTCTTAGCTGAGAATATTATATTTACTTACTCCTTGCATTATGGTTAACATTTCAGTGACTGATACTATATACCACCACAGACAAATTATAGTGTAATCTGACAAAAGATGGATATATCTGGCCCGAAGAGACCTAGCAGATGGCCTGCGGATCATTACCCATTGTAAATGGTATCGTATTATTAGTGATATTTCTGCACTGCGACCCCGGACAGGCCTCTGACCCGGTGGGTGAGGATCAGGATTCACATTGGTTGTTTATATGTGTATTTTAATTCTTGGCTATCCTCCGAATATCATCATCATGTAGCACGTCCTTTGCAGAACGTCGCTCTCATTACAGTCTGCCTGAAAGAAACTCGGTCACTCGCCAGTTCTCCCGCCTCATGAACTTTCGCACTCAAGGAGTCACTTATATCCTGTGCCCATCTTTGCGTCGGCCGGTCTCTGCCCCTCCTTCCTGGTATCCTCCGAATAACTGTCCCAAATTATTGAGGCTGAAAATATACCCTAACAGGGCCTCAGTCACATGTAAATTGCAAACTTCCGGTGACTATCGCTACCGCCACCGCCGAGAGTATCTCCCACACCGCTACGCGCGACGTGGAGCGGGGCTTAACTAGAATAACTCCATTATTCGGAGGATAGCCAATTTCTCCCCCCCCCCCTCCCGCCCCTTTTGTTAAGGTTTCTAGTTATTATTCGTTGTATTCATTTTTAAATTCAGTTTGCTTGGTGAGGATGTTCTGCCATAGTCTTTTAACAGTGTTAATAACACATCTGTTAATTAACATCTGTACTATACTAGAAACAGAACATTAAAGTCACTTTTAATTGGCTTTCCTCTGAATAATGGTCCTAAATTATCAAGGCTAAGAAAATACCCTAACATACGTAAATTGAGGACTCCTTTCTGGCAAGTACACCGTGGCAAAAGTAGGATTAATTTCCGGCGATAATTTCGCAAAGCGCAAACAATTATGGAATTATCACCATGGCAGGCAGACCATCAGCTTCGACACTGGGTCCTAGGTTTAACTTCTCGCTTGGGTCCTAGGTTTAACTTCTCGCTTGGGTCCTAGGTTTAACTTCTCACCTGGGTCCTAGGTTTAACTTCTCGCTTGGGTCCTAGGTTTAACTTCTCGCTTGGGTCCTAGGTTTAACTGCTTCCCTGGGTCCTAGGTTTAACTTCTCGTCTGGGTCTTAGGTTTAACTTCTCACCTGGGTCCTAGGTTTAACTTCTCACCTGGGTCCTAGGTTTAACTTCTCACCTGGGTCCTAGGTTTAACTTCTCGTCTGGGTCCTAGGTTTAACTTCTCGCCTGGGTCCTAGGTTTAACTTCTCGTCTGGGTCCTAGGTTTAACTTCTCGTCTGGGTCCTAGGTTTAACTTCTCATCTGGGTCCTGGGTTTAACTTCTCTTCTGGGTCCTAGGTTTAACTTCTCGTCTGGGTCCTAGGTTTAACTTCTCACCTGGGTCCTAGGTTTAACTTCTCGTCTGGGTCCTAGGTTTAACTTCTAGTCTGGGTCCTAGGTTTAACTTCTCGTCTGGGTCCTAGGTTTAACTTCTCGTCTGGGTCCTAGGTTTAACTTTTCACCTGGGTCCTAGGTTTAACTTCTCGTCTGGGTCCTAGGTTTAACTTCTCGTCTGGGTCCTAGGTTTAACTTCTCGTCTGGGTCCTAGGTTTAACTTCTCATCTGGGTCCTAGGTTTAACTTCTCGTCTGGGTCCTAGGTTTAACTTCTCACCTGGGTCCTAGGTTTAACTTCTCGTCTGGGTCCTAGGTTTAACATTCCCGTCTGGGTCCTAGGTTTAACTGCTTCCCTGGGTCCTAGGTTTAACTGCTTCCCTGGGTCCTAGGTTTAACTGCTTCCCTGGGTCCTAGGTTTAACTGCTTCCCTGGGTCCTAGGTTTAACTTTCTTCCCTGGGTCCTAGGTTTAACTTCTCTTCTGGGTCCTAGGTTTAACATCTCCACTGGGTCCTAAGTTTCACATCTCCCATGGGTCCTAGATTTAACTTCTCTTCTCGGTCCTAGGTTTAATTTCTTCCCTGGGTCCTAGGTTTAACTTCCCTGGATCCTAGGTTTAGGGTTAGGGCAACAAGTATTACAATTATGACGCCACCACTAAAATCTGTCATAACAGTCCAACCGCGACACTAATGATTGAAGAGTTGTGCATGGAACGGAAGTGGAGCAACGTTAAGAAGGCGGGTCTAGTCTCACAATTTGCCGCCAACCCCTGGTGTATTCACCGGAAAGAAATCCGAATTTTACACACCACTGAGGCCCTGTTAGGGTACTTTCTTAGCCTCGATAATTTAGGACCGTTATTCGGATAGCCACTTAATTTATTATATGCATGCAGATTTATTTACATTTTGACCAGAAATAATATTTCTAATAATTTCTATAATATACAAATTTAATTATGCTTAAGTGCATTTTCCCACAAAACATTTCATGTGTGGCGAACAGAACTTCTAGCTGTTATCCCTGGAGGAAAATAAAGGAGTTAAATGATAATTTCAATGTTTTCTGAATTGTTTGAGTACTTATAATATCAAATTATTTCAGGGATTCTCAACATTTGTGAAAGGACATCATGGGTAAAATGAAAAGAGCGAGACAGAAGCTGCACACGGCTGCAGCCAGGGCAAAGAAAAATGAGCAGATAAAGAAGAGTAACAGCATAGAAGATGAACCTGTCATGGATCTTTCACCTTCTGTACCTGTAAGTTACACATGATGTGCTTTATTGTCATTTAATAATTTTACATGGTTTCCTTTTCATCTCTGTGTCTGAACACTTTGCTGACCAACTTCGCAGATCTGTGAATTTCTGGCTATATCCCCTGGTGTCCAAATTTGCTGATCTGCGAATTCGTGACATGTAAGCTGCAAACAGATGTCCCTACCGATAGATTTTGAATTGAGTTTTTTCTGATTTTTTTTTTCTTCTCAAAATGACTGTGCCCATGATCGATATAGATTTGAGCCGATACAAGCGTTGTTTTAAGTGAAATTTTGATAATTTTAATTACCAGGGCATATTAAGCCTTTTGTCATGTTTGATGACGAAAACCAGACCAGTAGTATTGGTGATTCGGAATCTGTCAGCTAATGTAGCACTAAAAACGATATTTCCTGGATAAGTAGAGATTCACCTCTGAATGTTATCGTCATAACTGAAATTAGCGACAGCAGTGATATTGATAACATCTGAACAAAAAAGTAGGCGCTTCACAAGAGACCAGAACATTTCTACAACTGAAAATGTTGTTTGTAAATGGAGAAAGGCTGCTAAACGTGAACTTTACACTGGGCAATCGTCCTCCATACGAAGAACAACAAGGTACCACGTCAGACACAAATTCATATGTGCTAATTGATTTTGTGTGTGTGTGAAGAATAAGCAGTTGAAACAGAAAAATGCAGATCATCCTGTTTTGTGTGACAAAAGATAAAGGCATGTTGGCCATTATCTGGCATGACACTAAGAGAGCTCACCTGATATCTACTGTTTGCTCCAATGATGTTATGGACAAGACAGTTATGAAAAGTGGAGTTCTTAAGGGTAGAATAATAAATAAGCCTTGGTAATGGGAGACAGTAATGCCCTGGATTGCTGGGGCTCTATATGTTCAGGGGGAAAAAAAAAGACTGAATACTTTCAAGAAGTGCTGTATGAAACATGTTGGTATATCATGGTGAAAACTTTGTCCTCAACGATTGTTTACTCCGACAAGCAGGAATGTCAACTACGGAAGCAAAGACGCCTAAGCTTGTTGAGGCATGTCTTCTGCATGCAGGACGGTTGCATTCCAAAGGATCTTCTGTATGGTGATGTTTCGTGGAAGCTGAAAATACCCGCAGGGAAGCCAAAGTTGTGCTATAAGGACATGTGTAGACGTGACCTGAAAGATACCAATGTTAATACACTAACTTGGGAGAGATCGGCTGCAGACCGACTCTTAGGGAGGCAGACAGTGAAAGAGGGACTGTCACACTTTGCAAGAAGCCTAACACAGAAAGATAGAGAAAGGAGATGTCTGAGAGAAAATCAGCCTCAGATTAAAGTACCAATGTTTTTGTGTAGACTGTCGCAGAGACTTCCACTCCTACATAGGACCCCACAGTCATAGCAGATGTTGTTCCTAAAGTCAGCGGCACAACTCCATGGTCTATAGGGATTGACGGTTACCCTGAGATATCTGTGACCTTGAGATTATGAATGCAGTTTCATAACTCTGACATACCTAGTTTGATTCACCTAAAGGCTATTTGACAGCAGACCACTTTGTCTCTTTAGATTTTAGCCTCTTTTTCAAGTTGATTACCTTTTATGTATTGCTTCTTCCTCTGGATTTGCCCAAAAAAGGTTGGGGGCATGTTTTGTTGTGGTTTACAGCTTGGCCTTTTGACCCAGCACTTTGATTTCAGCAAGTCCTTAATTGTTTGCCTTTTTCACTATGCTTGTTTAGGAGCATTGGGTCTATTATTTTTTCCCCTGAAGATGAAACCCACGAACCCAAACCGAGAGGCCACTCAAATTCTGTTCGTTCTCATTTAACTTATTTCATCATATGTTCAAAATTAGGTTTAATATAATAAATAAAATTTATGTGAATAAGGTAATCAAGTCATAGATCTGAATTTGATTGGACATGAGAGTTGTGAATAAGAAGACTGATAATTTTAATACGATTGTTGATTAGATATGACATTTTAATTTAAAGGTAGTTGTTGTATAACATGTGATTGGACTTATGAATGGAAGATAATTGTGAGACTGTTTATTTCATTTCCTGGCAGACAGATCCAGCTGCTGGAGTACCAAGAGGAGAAAATTTATTCCAGAATGTGAAAATATCCTCTTCCGATCTGGTGAAACAGAAACTGCCAGATTTTGATGCTCGCAGCACAATCACAAGCAAGACCTTTAAGGGACAGAATTTGAAGAAGAAAGACAAGCATAAAATTAGACGAGAGGCCTGGACAGCAAGTAAGCTGACTTTGTTTTCTTGGGATACTGCGGGCTTGTGTGTGATGTAGCAGTTAGACACCTGTCTTCTGTGGAGATATGAGAGTTTGATTACAATGATTCTGATCCTGTCATTTACACAACCTAGAAAGTTATTGCCGCCATCTGTGGCTTCCAGGGTGCCGGTTCGATCTCGGCGGTGGGTTATTTGGCAGTAGACTGCCTTGGATTGTTTGTTTTGACAGTGTTATTGAGAGCTGAGCATTAGAACTAACGCCAAACTTTTGAATGTTAAACTGCCTAGTGAAGACACAAACAGCCAAAAAAATGCTGGCCTGGTTCTGTAACAACCTGTAAAGTAGGGCTTATTCAACTGGCAGCTCGCTGATTATTTTCACTTATATTGTATCAATGACTTTTCTATGCTGGGCTCAGGCCCCTGACGATCTCCATTTTCAAAATTGTGGCCCCGGAGTAAACTCAGTTGAATAGCCCTGCTGTAAAGAATATGCAACCACATGTGCTTTTGAAAAGCAAGTAATTGAAGTACCACATCTACGTGTGTGATCATTCACAAAATCTGACTGTGGCCAGTCCTTTTCTGTGCTTAAAGGTTAGGGAAACCATTTCACAAACCATTCCTTGACAGTTACTAAGTTGAGATTCCCTGGGTCGGCAGTATAGAAAAGTCAGTCAGTTGTTCTGCTATAAAAAGACTGTTTCCCTGGCTTTCAGACAGTGGTACAAGAGTCACAACGAATATTCCCAACGATGGCTGTGGGTATGCTGCAGCCAACCTCTATTGTTTATCAGCACATATTTTTATTTTATTTAATCCTGTCCACTGGAATTTATTTAAAAAAAAACTAATTATATTATTATAAACCCCCTTTAACTACAGTGAAAAGATGGAAAATGCAATGGTACAGACATGTACTTAGGTCAAACAGCCTCTCAAAAACAATACTACAAGGCTTGGTAGAGTGGAAGAGACAGATCAAGAAAGACCTGGTTACAGAACTTGACCGACTGGACAGGCCTTAGGCATGCAACATTGCATCTGACAGTCAAAGGTGGAAAGAGCTGATCAGTCAGTAAACAGCAGCTGGGTGACCCAACAACACCCAGTGTTATGGGATCATGATGTTCATTATTATTTTATTGTGGGTTGGTTGTTTGATTGTGAATTCTCTGGAAGACTTAGTTTTAACTCTTAAGCAGAATACAGAGGTGGGTGATGTGTTTTAATATATATTTCAATATAAAAATGAAAATAAAAAAGCCATCATGTCTGCACTTTTGATTCTCAGAAATAGACATGATACAAACGACCAAGAAGAAAGCAAGGGAAAGAAAACGCAAGCAGCAGACACCGATTGTGGGCGATCTAACAGCAATGGAAGATGCTCTACCCACCTTAGAGCTTCTTATGAAAGAATCAACAGATGACTTTAGCAAAAGGTAAGTTCTGACGTGAATTATGTAGCACCCTTTCCTATCTGGGTTATGGGACCCTATTCTGGGGGGGGGGGGGGGGGGGGGGACACCACCTACCTCCCAACATGTCATAAAAGTTTACTTATTAGGGATGTTTCATTTGTGTATCTGCCTGAGAGGTAAGAAACCAACAGTCTGCATACAAATAAGCCAGATCTGTAAATCAGATATATGCACAGAAAACTCAAGCTCTGGGAGGAAACCAAAAGTGGATAGACAGTGATAACTTTCCACTAGAAATTACAGCCGGTTAGTGCCAACAATGAGAAATAGCATGCTCAGATGTTTCATTGGCTCTTGTGCAACCACCAGCCACAGAGGAAGCATGTAAGAGTAACATAGAGGATCAGGTTGGTGACTATTAAATGATAACAGAAGTCATAGCACATAAACTTCATAGGCTACCTCTAGTGGCAGGGTCTAATTTCACTTTATACATCTTACTGACATTGGCTTAACAAATCAGATGTGTATGTAAAAGAGACTGGAGTCTGGTAGAGGTGGAGTTATGTGTGAGAGGTTGAGAGGAAGGAGTGAGCTAAAATAGGTGAATAAGAGAGAAAAGAGTTAAATGAGAGTGAAGGAGTAGAGGAAGGATAGGAAGTGGAATGAATTACCAGTAAGATGAATGAGTGAGGGACAGATGGAAATAGAGAATATGTTAGATTGATCCCTATACAAGTGAGAAGATTCAGATATATTGACTTGAACAAGCGATTCCGATAATGATGTTTCAGGGTACAAGGAAATGTAGCAATGTTTCCAAAGGGCCCTCTATAGCCTGAAGATGAAAGGCGGAAATCTCTTGAAATGTTACCGCTTTCACATCTTTCCTCATGGCTACATAGCAGTGTTTTCCTTACATATATAATGGGACAGCATGCAGCTGTTGGAAACAAATGCTTGGGCTTGCAGCAATATATGTACATCATCATCTTCTTTGCTTTCACCGGCTGTAAACTCCAGCAGAAAGTTCTGGTTGTTCATCCACCTAGGACTTTGGACTCGTTCCAGAACCTGAGAGTTGGGTGTACGTATGTTTTACAGATCTGACTTATTTATATGCAGACTGTTGGTTCCTTGCCTTTCAGGCAGATGCATTCTGACTTTGAAGGAAACCCCCAGTTAGTTGACTCATACGACATGCTTGTTTGAGTGGCATTGGGTCTGTTCATGTTTTCCCCACAATGTGGCCCTGGAACCCCCACAGGGAATATACATCATGAGATAGAAACTCTTCTGTTGGGGGAGGGGGTGGAGTGGGATAGACTCAGTGCCTACATTCCTACAAGGTGACTAATTGAGGTTTGATAACAACAGAAGGTTTTGCTGAAATCTTATGTGTTAAGCTGACTGAAAAGCGTATATACCACAACACAATGTGCCAACCACCCTTTAAGGATGAATGCAGAAGAAGAACTTTAATGTTAGTTAGTTAGTTAGTTAATCAACAGATTATCCTCATTGCACATCGGGCAAACCCATAAGTGTTTGGATCCCATCTTCAGTATATCCCTTAGCATATGGCGACTGATAACACTAATTTTGGGTTGGTTTACTATTCTTCCTTGACTACCTATATGAATGTTAATAATGCTTTAGTTATAAATGCTAATAACATATAATAGTTTGTGATGTGTGTGTGTCATACAACAGACAGCCTGAGGAGAAACCAAGATCTATACCTAAAGAGAAGAAAAGAAAGAAACAGATGTAAGTATGGATATATCACTGTATATGAGCGGGCTTCAAATGAAAACCTTCAAAGTGTGACAGACATTAAAATAACCACGTCATTGTCTTGTAACCTGCCAGTATTGTTATTATACACTTACTCGACTGACAGACATGCACCACTGTCCTGGATCTTCATTCGCTGATTAATTTCTCAAGATTTCTATACTTAACTGATTAAAAAATGGGGGGGGGGGGGGGGGGGGGGGTGAATAGACGTTGCTCCTCTTTGGCGCGTGTCAAAAGTGGGAAGACCATCCTTAAACTGCCACATTGATGTCACATACTTACTTCTGACATCCTTAACTATACTGACACGTTAGAAAACAATAACATGGTTATTGTAATTTTTTACATACTTTTAAGGTTTCATTTGAAACCCCTTTGTAATATTGATATTCCAAATACCACAAAAGCTACACTACACCCCCTACCCCATCCTCCCCAGAAAGATCATTAACACAGTACTCTTGGCACGATTGATGGAGTGCTTGTTAGGCCTCTGCAGGCTGCCAGTAAAATAATCCTGTTTACCTGAACTGAGCATTGAAGAAAATTGGCTCACAAACAGCATCCTGTCCTGACAGCTGAAGTATTTTTTCATAGTAGCCCAGAGAGAACGGTGATGGAGGGTACAGGTCATAGGCAGACCTCCACGAAGATGGATACAAGACATTAAAGATGCATTGTCTATGAAAGCACATAGGGCTGCTGGAGAATTGGCTAGAGAAAGGGAGACTCTGTGTAAAGGACCTGCTGTATGATGGTGTGGTGGTTTCCACACTCACTGCTCATACACAGCAATCCAGATACCAGTCCAGGATCTGAGGATTTCTTTCGTACACTGCATCAGACCTTTAACAAAAGCATATTTCTTCTACATTTCAGTAGAACTCTCAGTTTATAAAATGTGTAAAGTTTGATTCAGTAATTTCATAATAATCATGCAGCTATATATTTTATAGGAATCATGGTAAAACTAGCTCACAGGATTAACCTCCTGTCATGTGATCATAGGTTTAAATCCACTTTTGGGCAGAGATTACTCAATAAATAACCTATGCTTACAAATTGACCCAGTAAAAATTGAGGGTAAGAAGACGGTGGTGTGATATCAATCACATAACACTTTGAGTATCATTCGGTCTGTACAGAATATGAGGCCAACAACATAACTCTGGGTGGGAACAAATATATCATTACTTGACAACACTAGAGGCAATTAATACTAGGAATCAACATTTAGTTTCTCAGTACCCTGTGTTGGTCCATGGCTCCAATATGGAGAACAGAGAATAGATCCACTGCAAACCTTAAGAAGCGTGTTGTTGGGGGGACTAATTAGGGTTGTTTCTTTCAAAGTCTGAGTGCATCTTCTTGAGAGTCAAGGAACCAACAGTCTGCTTGCAAGTGAGCCAGATCTGTAAACTGGATGTGCACGCAAAACTCGTTATGGATCAAGACTTAAGTCAGTCCAGGAGTTGACAGACAACCAGAAGTTTGTGCCGGAGGTTATAGCCATTGAACGCTAAGAAGAAGCTTCACGGTAACAATGAATGTGAAATGTCCGTTGTTTCACATAAGTGACGTTAGCTGTTTCATTTCAGGCTGGACGACATGGCCCTGTTTAGCAAAGTTGTGGCACATCCTGTTTTCCAGGGTAACGCAAGCCAGGCCATTAAAGAGCACTTGAAAAACATGCTGCATGAGGTAGGAGAGGAAAGCATGAAGTCTTGAATATTAAATCACGATTGTGACAAATTATTTCATTCATTCTTGAATGTGTCAAATGTGATTCTGTGTAAAATGTTACTGATATTAAATTGTGTGTTGCTTACTGAATTATATTGTTCTGTTGTTAATGTTTTTGTTTTTAAGTGTCCCTGCACTTGCTTGCAGGTTCTACTATGCCTGAATTATGTTAGGCCAATGTGGGAGCATTAGTCATTTTATCAAACAAATCCCCACAGGTGTGCATTTTAATTTTAATTCAAAATCTTCGGGCCAACAGGCGAGTTTCTAGACACTGTCCTTCTGCAGCTTGCCATTAGCCAGACACTGTGCCAAAACACTTGACTTCATCGAGCATTTGTTGACTGAGTTAACTTACCGGAAAGTTTTGTGGGACATGACGTAGCATTGTGTAGTGTTTTCTTTGTCCCTTTCTTTACAGGTGTTGTCCCCGGATTACCCATCCAGGATAATTTACTGGTTGGCCCTCAAGGGAAGGCAGGGGCAGATCATAGCCATTCCCCACCATCCAAGAAGGCCGACAAATGACGATCTGGTTCTAGGCTCTCCCAAGGAATCGTCACATCCTGCACATGACTACTTAACCTCACAACTGTGTGTTGAGCTTCCCATTCGTCATGGGCTATTCTCTCCTGAGATCAGCCACATGTCCAGGGCTGTGATTACCACACAAAAAAAGGTAAATTCTTCTTCAGCACAGTAGACACCTTTGACTTTGTTTCATCTGGACACTTAGCATGGGAGTATGGAGAGTGCATTTATCAGGCATGGATTTCCCGATCTGGTCCCATCACTCTGGCGAGTGAGACCAATGGTAACAGACATCATAACCTTTCTACCAAACAGTAGGACTTATGATGGTCAGACATTTAAGACTTCACTGTTATGCTATATGATATATTTCTGATGAAAATTTTGGCCTAATTTGACAGTGGCAGATTGTCATTGTGTACTTCAACACAGTGTTGATGTTATTTAGAGTCAACTGAGGATGTATGGAGATAGGTGTATGCCGCGAGATACCACCCACAGGAGATGTTGCTTAATTAGGCTGTGAGCAAATCTCTTGGCCTACGGCTGAGTTTAGTCGTTCATTCATTTGCCAGACGTTTTAACCGAGAGCTGTCACTGAGTAGTATGTTCTGCTGGCAGACTTACCCATGTTCCTAATGAGTTTTGAATTAGGTTTTCACCCATGCACTGGGGGGTGGACTGATGGGAGTCAGGGGATTTCTGGGCACTGCATCTCTGGGAGCTACCAACTCCGAGATCCCCTGCGCACTTTATGCTCATTTGAGCCATTATCTGTGGTGCATGATAGGGATACGTGGAAGGGGTATTGCACGAGGATCCATACAGCCAGCTAGCACCCCAGGTTAGGGATATAGTAACTCCTTTTTGGAAAGAAGGCCTACAACTAAAACTGCTACAGGCAGGAGTTGTGCACAACATGTACAAGTGGATCAAAGACTTTCTTTTCCAACGCAGAGCCAGATTCAGAATTGATGGACACATCGGCAAAGTTGCAAAACTAAGAGAAGGAGTTCCCCATGGAAGTTTACATAGATGATATCACAGCAACCTGCCACCAGCACGTTTCTAATACCCTACATGCCGATGACTTTGCAGTTTGTACAGCCTCCAAATACACTGCCACAGCCTCATATCTGTTACAGAAAACTGTGGAAAATGTAGAAGCCTGGACCGAAAAGTGGGGTCTAAAGCTAAACGATTCGAAAAGCATAGCATAACTTTTCTCTCTCTCCCCCAAAAAAGAAAAAATCGAAATCTGGATAAAAAAACAGCTCACTCCACAGACTGACACTCCTACCTTTCTTGGCATTACACTTGATTCGCGACTAATTTGGAAGTCACATGTAGAAGCAGTACAAGGGAAAGCATTCAAGAAGCTTGCAGTATTGAAAAAATTAGCGGGTACCACATGGGACGCTAACTCCAGAATCCTGAAACAAGTATATACTGGAGCAGTCACGCCAGTCATGGAATATGCCTCCACTGCATGGGATGCAGCAGCCAAGACAACAATGGGAAAACTGGACAAGGTTCAGAATATGGGATTAAGGACTGTTCTCGGAGCTATGAAAACCACCCCTATCAGAGAGATAGAGAGGATAGCAGATACTGAACCAATCGAACTCAGAAGACAATACAAAACTCTTTTACAGTATGAGAAATTAAAAAGACTTCAAGTCACCCACTGCATTTTAAATTTCAAGAGAGAACAAAAAACAGAATGAAGCGTCAGAGCTCCAACCACCTTGCTAGAGAACTGTACAGACAGCACCAAGATCTGCTTGAAAGAGATGTTGCACTGTGTGAAAAACTTAGGCCAGAACCATGGGCAAGCAAGCCAGAGAAGGCAAATGTAATCCTAAAGGTACCAGGGATCACTTTAAAAGATACCCAGACGGAGACACAACAAAGAACCCTGGCTCTTGCTATGCTTGATGAGAAGTATCCCAACACCACTTGGACCCAGGTGGTTTTCACCGACGGCTCTGCTACAGATGCAGTCAGAAAGGGGAGCTGTGGAATATACATTAAACCCCCTAGCAGTAGAGCAGAAACTCTCTCTACCAGCAGGTGACATCTGCACTAACTTCAGAGCTGAGGCAACTGCCCTCCATTTTGCAGTCCAACATCTCATCACTCAAGAACACAGAGGGCACAAAATTGTTATACTTAGTGACTCATTGTCTGTTCTTCAAGCACTATCAAGCAAAAAACAAGACAAACTAATTGCAGATCTAAGGACCAACATTGGCTTACTCTCCAAGGAAGCAGAACCGATCTTGCAGTGGATACCAGCCCACTGTGGTATTCAAGGAAATGAGAGAGCAGATGAGTTGGCAAAAGCTGGGAGTAATCTTCCACAGCCTCATCCACCACACAGCTATAAGGAAACCAAAACAGCGCTAAAGCAGTCTTTCAAGCGGGAGTGGGGAAGGCAGAACGGAGATTACAGACCAGAGAGTGACAGCATAAACAAACTCAACAGGAAAGAACAAACATCAATTTTAAGGCCTCGGACAGGACACTGTGGTCTTCGAGCACACCTGTACAGGATAGGCATAAAAGAATCTGCTGCCTGTGATTGTGGAGCAGAAAGACAAACATCTGAGCACATACTGCAGTACTGCCCTAACCTCCCCCAGCAAAGACTGGATCTGGCCCAAGGGAGCCACATTGCCAGAGAAGCTATGGGGGACCGTTGGCGACCTTAAACGCACAATCCTATTTGTGACCCAGACAGGACTCAATGTTTAGCATGACTGATGTCGAACGCAGAAGAAGAAGAAGAAGTAACTCCTTATACACATCACGATGCCCTTAACTTTCCCTCACGCCTGTAACCGAAATCCCTGCGTCATAATTCACATTCTGATAAGTCAGGAGAAGCTGTTTCTTGTTTTATGTTACTTTGGTCTTAGTTTTCTTGTTCTCTTCTCTGGGATCAAATGGACAGTGCAACAGTCCAGAATCCAGACACTGAAATACTAATTCAACGGTGATCGAGGAAGAGGGGGTTAAGTATAGGTTCTGGAAGACATTTAACACTGAAGAGAAAGGGGGAAACATAGGCCAACCTTTAATTATGTTGCAGCTGGTACTACCAGCATGGCGACTCTTCACTGGCTACTGAAGAAGGGGATAGAGCATGTATGGGAACGTCCCAGTGCAGTGATATCAATTTTTGATTCATTCATTCCTCACATATTTTCATAATCTGCTTTTCAATTGTTTCAGGTAAGAGAAACTGTTGACTTCAAGTGTTTTTCTATTTGCTGCCATTTTAAACAGTAGCTTGTTTATATTTATGCTTATGTCTAAGCTTATTTTCATTATTTAGTTGTTGTACTTGATGTGCTATATTGTGGAGATCCCATTCAGTTTCACATTACCAGAATGTATCATCTACACTGAACAATAAATGTAGATACTGCATTGGTGAACCATATAAACCGCCAAAAGACATTCATTCATAAGTAAATCTCCAAAATAAAATCTCAGGTAACATCCGAGACATGCTAACAAACTAGAAATGACACACACTGGTGGTAAACTCTTAACTTCATTCATGTACATTTGTATAAAGAACATGTGGAATGTATGAACACACTGTATCATGTCTTAAAATGAGTATGGACAGCAATGTATGATGTATGTATAAGGCCATAAGCATGTATTATCTCAGTCTAGCTGAAAACATTTCCCTGTGCGGGTTGCGGGGCCCCCTTTGGATTGGGGGAGGGGGGAGGGTAGACCCACTACCTCCAACAAGCATGTCTTACATGCAACTAATTAGGGATTTGCTGAAATTGGATGTATTGGGCCAAAAGTTGTAAACACCCCAGCCAAGCTGTAAACCACAACACAACTGTCAATGGCCATGTTAAGGGTGAACACATAAGAGGCTTTAGTCACAATGAAGTAAACCATCATGTTAGTTACATGTTAAGGTTATGAATTCTTCTTTCATTTGTTGTCTCATTGTTACCAGGTTGTAGTCTGGTTTTCTTATTTGTCTTGTGCTTCTCGGGTGATGATTTGTTAATCTTTTTTGCAGGTTCAGCCACACCATTTATCCATATTTTTCCTGCTCTTCCCCCCCACCCTCCTTTCAGTTGTTCTGCTATAAAAAGTCTCATATGCAGTTTAGTCTGGCTGCATTCTCACTAGATGGCCAAACCATTTCATTCTTTGTCTGTCAATATAATTCAGACATGGTCTTACGCCAGCTTTCTGTCTAATGTTGTTATTCGCAACTCTGTCCCTTCTTGTGTTTTAGTGACCTTCTGGAGACAGCACATTTCATAAGGAGTTATTTTCTGTTCTAGCGCCCTATTCATGGATTAAAAAGTTAGTTGTGTATCCTTTACAGTATGTCGCAGAACCAACCCCAGCATTTTTTGGCTGTTGTGGTTTTTCAAGGCAAATTTACGTCCAGTAGTTTGCCATTTCTTTCTGGGCGGTCGGCTTGTCTATACCACTGTCAAAACCAACGCAAGGCCTGCAGTTGGGATCAAACCCAGCACCTGGGCATTAGGAAGTGCATTCGCAATGCCTAAGCCACAATTCATGGATTACAAGCTGACAATTCACCAATTCTTCATGCCCCCTTCCCCTCTGTTTCCCCCCTTTCTGCCCTTATCACTACCAAAAATGTATCTAAACAACATGGACAACATACACACAAACATAATATTTCAAACCAAATGACTGACAGTGCGAGTCACTAGTAAGAAGTACAACATCAAGCTCATGCAGGACTTGATTCTTTTCTACAGTTCTTCATGTTTGGGCCCGGTGAATTCCTCATGTGAGATAAAGCCATCCTTATCCTTGTCTTCATGGTTAAAAATTTCTGTGATCATTTGATTGTGGTTGTCTTTGTCTTCTTGACGCTGTCCGGCTTTGGAAGCTTGTTTCTTGAGGTAATCAGACACCTGTTGAGAGAAGTGCACACAAATAATGTTTTTGTGTGGCAACAGAGTTTTTTTTGGATTAGATCATGTCAATCATAAACCCAGGAACTAGACAACTTAAGTTGATTGAGGGTCTATGTGTTAGGATATACCTCGTGTGTATAGTTGTGCACGTAAAAAAAATCCCTTGACAGTTGGAAATCAAAAAGAGTAGCCTAATGTTGCCATCTGAGCAAAATGTGGAGTTCCAAATCTGCCCAAAGTATTTTAGAATCCTTGCGAAGCTACAGTGTTCGTGCACTGCGATGAGAAATTTCTGACTCTTTCTTGTTAGAAATAGAACAGGGCACATATGGGTTACTACTCTAATGATGTTGATCCAGTGTTCAAACCAAACATCGCTAATTGCATACAAATTAATAGATTTTATCTCAACAAGCCAAAAGCAACCTTGACCAATCCTTTCCAGAATAGTCCAAGAATTCTGACAAAATCAAAAGTTTCACTCACTTACTCAGCTTTAGTACTCTCAAATAGTTTGCTTATAATAGTATAACAATAACGATTGCAAGAGCTGTAGTCCACAGCGCAGCTAAGGTGTTTTATTTCAATAAGGGAAGTGAAGGACAGTCAACCTGTGTCCTACTTTGTGACAACAGATCTGGGATGCGGTGGTGAACCTATGTGGTGGTGCACCAAGACCAGAGGTTCAATCTTGCTTGTCAACACTTAACAGCTCATCATGATGATTCTAAAAACAGGTTACCTACTGGAACCTAGTCAATGCGAACAGAGTGGCATTACCTTTAAAGTAGCACTGCATTTGCATGACAGGTAAAGAACCAACAATCTGCACACAAATAAGCCAGATCTTTCAAACAGATTTGTACATACTAAAGTCATGGAACAAGACTAAAGCCCAGAAGTTGAAGAGCAGTCAGGCTTCTCACCAGAGTTTACAATCAGTGAATGCTAAAAAGAGGAAGATAACAGAGCTAGTTTGGGACTGGCTACTAAAACACCCAGAAAACAATAACTACAATATCCAAAAGCACATTTTTAGAGTAGACAATCAACAGGAAGACATACAGGACACTCAAAAACTAGCGAAGGATAGGTATAGTATTGAACACTACTACACTGCAAGAAATATGGACTCCAGTTGACTCCTGCTAATGAAAAATTACCTGCGGCAATAGGCGTAGGACAATAGGAAACATTCTTTATCTGGACAGCTCTGGAGAGCTACAGGGAAGGATCAAACAGTACATCACAAGAACAAAGGGTGTCACTGAGTCTTAAAACATAATGATATCCCAAATCACTTTAAATTTTCCCAAAGATTACACAATACATTGCATGATTGACACAGTTGTGTAAAAAGTACACTTTAAATGAACAACATTCTATGCTTCTACAATTCTTTACAATTAATAGTTACATATAATCTATTCAAAATATAATAACTGGTAAGCACAAATATCCAGTAGAAAAAAATATAGAAGGCTACACACAGCACATCTAGAACTTAGTATGTAGCTGAAAATCTGCAGAAATAAATGACTGCTTTAATATTCATTCTGAAGCTTTGAATACTTATTGATTGAATTATATTTCCATCTATTCTCTTTCTCTTCCTCGACACCCACAGCGGTAAAACAGGAAGTGAAGAAGAAGTCTTTCTCTGCCTAATACTGTTAGTTTCTCGCAGGAACAGCTAATGATTGGTTTCTGGGATAGTGAGCGCTCATCAGCTTTTCTACATAGTGACATGTTGAGTTTCAGCAAGTTGACTCCATCTATCCATATTCTTCTTGGCCTTCCTCTGTGTCTTGATGTTTCTGTTCTCATATTGTATACTCTTACAACCGCCTACACGGTGCATTCTGACCAGGTTGCCAAACCCTTTTCAGTCTTTGTGTTTCAATAAATGTAATTACAGGAGTTGGTCCAACTTTTCTAATGACATGTTTATTTCTTTTATAGTCTCTTCTTGTGATGCTGACTGCTTTTCTCTAACATCTCATTTCACATGTTGTCAGTTTTCACTCTTGTTCTTTTCTCAAACATCTCATTTCACATGTTAGTTTCCACTCTTGTTCTTTTCTCAAACATCTCATTTCACATGTTGTTAGTTTCCACCCTGGTTCTTTTCTCAAACATCTCATTTCACATATTGTTAGTTTCCACCCTTGTTCTTTTCTCAAACATCTCATTTCACATGTTGTTAGTTTCCACCCTTGTTCTTTTCTTAAACATGTCATTTCACATATTGTTAGTTGCCACCCTTGTTCTTTTCTTAAACATCTCATTTCATATGTTAGTTTCCACTCTTGTTCTTTTCTCAAACATCTCATTTCACATGTTAGTTTCCACTCTTGTTCTTTTCTCAAACATCTCATTTCACATGTTGGTAGTTTCCACCCTTGTTCTTTTCTCTAACATCTCATTTCATATGTTGTTGGTTTCCACCCTTGTTCTTTTATCAATGCCCAGATCTGACATTGATAACACTATGTTGATAAAAAAGTTGTGTTTGATTTGTCTTTTAGTTTCCATTGGTATTGCTGGGAGTTTCAGTGTTGGGGAAAGTTGACAGGTAACAAGGTTTGCTTGCTGGATTCTGGTCTTGATCTCTCTTTGCTGTTTGATGTAAAGATGCTTCCAAGTTATTTGAATTCGCTTATCGTTTTAGGTGAATGTTAAATAATTTTTATGTCAATATTTTGATATTCCCTGTTTATGTTCATGATTTCTATTTTTTTTTTTTAATGCTGTTATTTTAGCTGTTATGGTGGAGTGCATTAATATGTTTCTGCAGTAGTTTGGTTTTACTGTAGAATATGCATTGATCACTGGCAAAGAGCAGCTCGCTTATGTAGTTTAGTTGGTCATTTGCTGGTGCTGTTTCTTCTATTTTGGTGATAAAGTCCAAATAAATAATGAAGAGCAAGGGTGATTACTGGAGAGGAAAAAATGATGAAAGCAAAGAATTGAACTATTTACCTCTTCAGCTGAGAGCAGATTATCATCATCTGCATCAATTTGTTTGAAAATGTTGGGTGGGGGGACCCCATCTTTGATGCTCAGTAGCTCAACCTCAAAGGTTAAACTAGCATTGGGAGGAACTCTGTCACCTGAAACGGTTATTGCAATAAACTCACTGTGAATGGATACTCATTAAAACAACTGAATAACAATGATGAATATATGGTTATCACCATCATCATATTCCAGGTCCTTTACTTATGGTCACACTGATCACAGCATGTCTGAAACTTAGGCCGTGGCAGACAGCTCTCTTGCCTCATGCACTTTCCTGCTCCAGGTGTCTCCATGTCCTGTGCCCTTCTTCAATCTTGCCCCACTTATCCAGCAACATGTCCTCCACTGCTATTCTTTCAGATCCACCATATAATTGTATATGTCCAAAGTATTTTGGTTTCCAAGACGAGGGGCTGATTCTGAGCAAATTTCCCTTGATGTTAAGAACTTTTAGAATGTCGATAGTTCTTTTCTTCTTGGCACTTGGTATTCTAAGAATCTTTTTACAACATTGCAGCTCTAAAGCCCTTATATACCTCCTAAACAAGTAGGAGATAAGTGGTATGGAATATGTGGCACCAGTTGGCAATACTGCCAGTGAATCAAAAACTAATGGCAGATACAATGATTGGGATGTTGGCTTCTAGTAAACGTAAAGGACTCTTTTCAGCACAAGTGAGCAGAATGGACATATAGTACTAGACCTCTATTTCAGAGACAAATCAGTGCCTTTACTTTCCAGGGTTCTACCTGCTACCCATTTTAGGCTAGGTCGGCCTGGGAGCCAAGGTCATTTCTGAGAAAAGAAAACCAGCTTGGTGCACATTTGAACCTACAACCTTCGAGCCTGCAGCTACACCTTGGTGGCTTCTTGAGACTACTAGGCCACAGTATAATTAGGTAGTATAGTGATCCCTTATTTACAGAAAATTATCTGGAATTTATGAAGATCCGCTCAGAAGATATGAGGGCTACTCACAATGATCAGTGCTCATGTGGGAGATGAGGTGTGAAACCTCAATGAGGCGGTGGAATGTTTTTTTTGTCAGGGGCAAAAAGAACAATGTAAGCTGCACAGTTCTTAGCAAGTGTATTAGCCATGGTGTCTTAAATCCTCAGACTCAAGATCTCCTACCTTCTTTCTTTTTGTTATAGTCCAAAACATGCAAAATGAGTAGTCAGGTCTACCCGCAGCCTTCTGTCTCGTGAACTTTCAATGAGTTCTGACACAAATGCTCTTCTATGCCATGATGTCAAACTGTCACTATTTTATCTTTAATTCACTCCAAATAAAGGAAATCCTGGAGTTTCTGGGAAAGTCCAATATTCTAAGGGGGAGAGGGTGTGTATGGTTAGAGTTACAATTAGGGTTAGTCAGTATCTCTGAGGCGGCTGAGACTAAGAAAGACCCTTACCCCAACCTCCAGAATATTTGATTTTTCGGGAAAATCCAGAATTTCCTCTGTTTGTGGTGAATTAAAAATAAAGTACCAAACTGTCCAGCATCTTTTCTCTCGGTCTTTCTCTGCCTCTTTTTCCTTCCAACTTTCTCACTGTCATTATGAACTCCAGTGTAACAGCTATAGACAGTCTCACATAAAAACAGTAACATTATCAAAAATATTGCAGATTTAATATAATGAGATGCCTGTTGTTCTTAAGAATTGAACAATGAAAAGATCTGTAAACTACCCAATTAAATATCATGCTGATATAAGCTTCCTCATCTGTCAACTTAGTTTAGGACTTAGCACTTGTGAGCTCCTCCTGAATACAGTGTTGTGGACAACTGATAACAAAACAAGCACTTGTGAGCTTGTGCTGAATACAGTGATATGGACAACTGATAACAAAACAAGCACTTGTGAGCTTGTCCTGAATATACTGTTATGGACACCTGATAACAAAGCAAGCACTTATGAGCTTGTCCTGAATACAGTGTTATGGACAACTGATAACAAATCAAGCACTTGTGAGCTCCTCCTGAATATACTGTTATGGACAACTGATAACAAATCAAGCACTTGTGAGCTCCTCCTGAATATACTGTTATGGACAACTGATAACAAAACAAGCACTTGTGAGCTCCTCCTGAATACAGTGTTATGGACAACTGATAACAAAACAAGCACTTGTGAGCTTGTCCTGAATATACTGTTATGGACACCTGATAACAAAGCAAGCACTTATGAGCTTGTGCTGAATACAGTGATATGGACAACTGATAACAAAACAAGCACTTGTGAGCTCGTCCTGAATACAATGTTATGGACAACTGATAACAAAACAAGCACTTGTGAGCTCCTCCTGAATACAGTGTTAAGGACAACTGATAACAAATCAAGCACTTATGAGCTCCTCCTGAATACAGTGTTATGGACAACTGATAACAAATCAAGCACTTATGAGCTTGTCCTGAATAACAGTGTTATGGACACCTGATAACAAATCAAACACTTATGAGCTCGTCCTGAATAACAGTGTTATGGACAACTGATAACAAATCAAGCACTTATGAGCTCCTCCTGAATACAGCGTTATGGACAACTGATAACAAATCAAGCACTTATGAGCTCCTCCTGAATACAGTGTTATGGACAACTGATAACAAATCAAGCACTTATGAGCTCATCCTGAATACAGTGTTATGGATAACTGATGACAAAACAAGTACTTATGAGCTTGTCCTGAATAACAGTGTTATGGACACCTGATAACAAATCAAACACTTATGAGCTCGTCCTGAATACAGTGTTATAGACAACTGATGACAAAACAAGCACAAACAAGCTTGTCCTGAATACAGTGTTAATGGACAACTGATAACAAATACATTAATCTAAACACATTGATTTTAATATTACAATAACAGCCAGGAGCACACCCGTCATTTTCAAGAGAAAGAATTGACAACATGGCTACAGAGCTCAGTAGAGAGGAAGAAGAGAAAGAGAAAGACCTGGATACAAAACTCGACTGACTGGACAGACCTTAGGCATGCAGCCATGAAGTCTATGCATTTGACGGTCAAAGGTGGAGGGAGCTGATCAGACGGTCAACATCAGCTGGTGACCCAGCGACAGGCAGTGATACGGGATGATGATGAGGATGATGACAGCATGGAACTAATAACAACAAATGATAAGGTAGTACCTGCACCAGTTTTTCCATAGCCCTTGCTAGGGGGGATGACCAACTTTCTCTTTTCCCCGACACACATGTCGAACAATCCCTCATCCCAGCCCTTAATCACCTGTCCAGCTCCTAGCTGGAAGTCAAATGGCTTGTCTCTGTCATAACTACACGAAGAAACAAATTATATTTACATCTATGGCTAAAGCATGAGATGTTCATTAGCACAATCATCATCAAGTGCCTTACCGACTGGTGTGGACAGCTATGCCTATCTACAACCTGCAGGGGGAATGAGTGGTCTCGAGGCATGGCATCCACCTCGAGTGCTGGGGTCCTGGGTTCAGGCCCCAGTGAGGGCTGGGATTTTTTCATGTGGACTTCTAGTAATTTCCCCTGGTCTCTGGGTAGTAGATGCTTGCGTGTAATGCTGCGCACATACAAAATGGGCAGTTGGAAATCAAAAACGGCACTGTCCAGGCAAACTTTGGCATTAGCAATCTACCCAAAAGTATTTTAAGAACCTCGCTGGTGCCACAGAGTTCATGCACTGCGCTGAGATTCTTCAGACTCAGGCTTGTGCCATGATGCTAATCCGTTGTTTGAACAGAAACAAAAACAACCTGTGATCTCCAGCTGCATGATATCATGTGCTGACAAAAGACTTGAGAATCTTCTTCTCATGTTGTTTTCCTCTATCTCTCTTTCCCAAATTTTTTACAGTGGTCACACTGAAAAGACAGAAGTAATATCAATAGGAAGAAAGAATCATAACGCAAATACAGCAGTAGAATGCAAAGGCCATAAACAGGCATCGAGTTTAAATATCTGGGAACAAAATTCACTAAAGATGGTAAAAATGATAAAGAAATTAACATCCGATACAGGTAAACCAAGCCATGCATTGGGACAGCTACCCCCCCCCCCCCCCCCGTTTTTTGGTCCACAGCATAAGACAATGCTGATCAGTATCATGAACATATCATGCATATTTATTCTCACTCTGTGCTACCAGTGCCAGACAGTCAGTCACTCACAACAAGCCTGACCCAAAAAAAAAAAAAAGTGACCATGGAAATGAAATGTCTCAGAAGTGTTTTCAGTGACCAGAAAAGATAAAAACAGGAAGGAGACAAAAAATGAAAAAGTCAGTACACAGCTAATTTGGCTGGCCAATTCTAAATGACATTCACAGACAGCAAATCAACTGGTTTACTCACTTAGAGAGACTGCCCTGTGGTGCTAACTAAGGATACAGCACATGAATTAGACCAAGAACAGCATAGAGAGATAACATGGTGTTGACCAGAGAAGGAAGAAGCAGAACCTTATATCTTCCTTGACACCAGAAGAGGTGGAAGAGGAAGTGAAGACAGATGTCTACAACTGATTGCAGGGGTCACGGAGGGCCGCATGGCCAGTACTGTCGCCACAGACTGTGCAGGTTAGAATTTTATTTGTTCCCCGAACAGAAAGAAAAATATCCCCAACCACACCGAGGATTCGAACCTGGCTCCCAGCGTTCTTAATCGCTGGATAGTAAAGAAGCGGTGCAACTCCTAGATAACGCATTTAAGTGACTAAAAATGTATAACCGAGGCACTTTAACGGCTGCACCATGGACCCCATTCAACCTAAAAATTATAATTAAGGTGTTCGATCTGGTAGCTAGAGAGGCAAGGAGATTACTGAAGCACTTACGATTACAGAAGATAGTAAAGTGTAATTAGTGTTACAAAAACTTTAAACTGAAAGAAAACCTATAATTACCTGGCATCGAACTTCTTTCCGGATTCCGTTAAAGTTGCAACATAGTGCATATACAACTGGTCATATCGTTTGGACTTTCTCTGGCAATCTTCAGGAGGTGGTGTAATGATTTCAATTGTTACTTCATCGTCAACAGCCGATTCTTCTTCTCCTTGGGAATTCGTTCCCTCTTCTTCTCCGTCGTCTGCTACCGTAACCGTCGCAACCAAAAATATGGCAAACAACATCACTATACACCGGAAATTCATGACTAGCAATTAATTTTAAATTGTATAACAACTAAAAAACCCTATTGTGGGGCTGTTCTGATGTGATAAAACAGTAATAAACGCAGGAAGATTTCAAATCCTGCAAGAAGAAACACGACATGAAGGCGTCGTCTGCTATCTTCCATTGACGTGGCGGTCTGGCACCGAACCTGGTCTCCAGGACTGGAGATCTCCCACCTGGCACCGTGGTTGTGGCACCAGCTGACAGCTTGATGATGATGACGACGTTTAACCGTGTCGATAATTGATTGGACACCACCCCTGTCGCAACGCGCGTTTGTTAGATTAGTGATTCTTATCTAGGGCCACACAACTACAAAATGTGCATGATATTTTTATATTAGCCCCCAGCAAGTGACGCTTTTTAGTATTAGTAGTTGTAGTGTCGGCTCTGTGGCTAAGTCGATGCGAACGCTTCGTAATGTCAGGATGCTGGGTTCTATCCCAGCTGCGGGCCATGCGCCTTGCGTTGGTTTCGACAGTGGTACAAAGAAAGCCGACCGTCCAGGAAAAACAATGGCAAACTACTAAGCGTAAATTTGCCTAGAAAACCACACAACAGCTGTAGGGTTGGTTATGAAGGATACACAACTAACCTAACCTAGTAGATGTTGTTGTTGGTGTAGTCAGAGCAGTGTTGGGTTTAGGCCAGGCTAAAAAAAAAGAGCTAGAGCTTTAGGGCTTTACAGTCTGCTTAACAAATTCCTTTTTGTTTACAAATGACATTTTCTGGCAATAGCCACTTTTAAGAGAATTATAAAATATAGCTTTTGTATGTAATTTGCAAACACATTCTTTATTATTTCTTTTACTAAAAATTAAACAATATTTTCCTACCATCCATACATTTAAAAGATGTAGGCTGTATAATTTTAAATTGTCAGCCTGTGTAATTTAAAACAATAGAGACCTCGGGGCTTTATAAAACTGAGCTTAGGGCTCTATCAAGTTTAACTTAAGCCCCGAGTCAGTGCTTTATTCTGTCGGTAAACAACTGTAGACAGCACCGGCACCTTTTTGAGCATATTTGTTTTCAGCACAACTGTAATAGGCACTATGTGGTGAGTGCCCCGGCACCTTTTTAGACACTGATGAGTACCCGCGCTTTTTTACCTAGGAGGAAACAAAATTAGTAATAGCAGCAGCAGCAGTAGTAATAGTAGTATTAA